GTTTTCCGGCTTAGGCGCGGGCCGGAAAAGCGGACCCCGGGAAGTGCTGCCCGGCGCCTGCGGTCCCCCGGCTGGGCGGGAGGAGTACCGCGGAGTCGAGGGGGGAGCCTGCCTGCCGAGTGTGGACCAAGGTAAATTCGAACTAAGGTACTTCGTCTTCAGCTATGGTATTCACGTAGCTGAAGTTGCGTACCTTAGTTCGAATTAGGGGGGTAGTGTAGACCAAGCCTAAGCTTATTTCTACCAGCTTAGGTTAAAACTTCCACAAGGCACAAATTCTTCCTTGTCCTTGGATGGTATCACTGCCATCGTCAAGTGAGTTAGACAAAGATTCAGGAAAAGGACCACGTGGAGTTCCGGTTTCCCCAAAATATCCCCCCAAGCCCCTTCACTCCCTTTCCTGGTGAGGCTTGAGCATAATATACCAACCAAATAGCTAAACAAGGTGAGCACAGACCAGACCCTTGGTTCTTAAATCAGGTTCTTAAAACAGAACTTTATTATAAAGAAAAAAAAGTAAAAGAAGCACCTCTGTAAAATCAGGATGGAAGGTAATTTTACAGGGTAATAAGATTTAAAACACTGAGGATTCCCCTCTAGGCAAAACTTCAAAGTTACAAAAAACAGGAATAAACCTCCCTCTTAGCATAGGGAAAATTCACAAGCTAAAACAAAAGATAAGCTAATGCATTTCCTTGCTATTACTTACAATTTTTGTAATCTTGGATGCTTATTTCAGGTAGAGTTTTAGGAGATGTTTTTTCCTGCCCTGGTCCCTGTCCTGGAGAGAACAACAAAGAGAGCACAAACAAAACCTCCTCCCACAAATTTGAAAGTATCTTCTTCCCTTATTGGTCCTTTTGGTCAGGTGCCAACCAGGTTATTTGAGCTTTTTAACCCCTTACAGGTAAAGGAGGGATTTTATGCTACCCTTAGCTGTATAGTATCAGAGGGGTAACCGTGTTAGTCTGGATCTGTAAAAAGCAACAGAGAGTCCTGTGGCACCTTTAAGACTAACAGATGTATTGGAGCATAAGGTTTCGTGGGTGAATGCCCACTTCGTTGGATGCATCCGACGAAGTGGGCATTCACCCATGAAAGCTTATGCTCCAATACATCTGTTAGTCTTAAAGGTGCCCCAGGACTCTCTGTTGCCCTTAGCTGTATGTTTATGACAGCCAGTTTCTTCCACAACCCTCTCTCTGCTTTCTTCCCTAGCTCTCCGATGCTTGACAGGCCTTTCCTGAGCTGGTCCACAAAGGCTCTATCTTCTCCTCATTTAAATCCCTCTTGATGCCCCAATTCTTCCAGGATGCCTGCAAGGAACTAGTCTGATCCAACTCTCATTGAAGTCAATGGGAAGACTCGTATAATGTCAGTGGAAGTTGGAACAAGCCTCCAGTTCTTTATCTATCTGAATTGAACTGTTCCTCTGTGTGGAGGAAGGAGATTGAAGTAGGGAATTGGTGTGAGAGAAAGATGAGAGCTGAATTATGGGGGGGGAAGCCAACCCCAAGATCAAAAAAACCTATTATATCCTGATTGCTTTGCTTGTCCATTGCAACCCTAGCCCCATCCTCTGCCTGCCTTTTTGTTTTGCTCCTCAGGATGTGATGTCTCCAGGGTTGGAACAAATTTAGCACCCAAAATTGTGCTACCACAATCTAAATAACAAATTATTATAACAGCAGTGGGACTGGTAGGGCTCACCTCACTAAAAAGAGGTTCACAACTTCTCCATCACAGATCTGGCATTAGAGTTTTGTGTTTGTCGCCGGCAATGGCCTCTGGCAAAATCCTTGTTGGTGGTTGACGCATCTAAATGAGAATTCCCCCAGGAGCTCAGCACATCCTTCTCAGGGCACACATGACTTGCAGGTGTGGTACCTGATCCAACTGCATCAGGAATTTACTTGTGTTCTCTAGCTTCTGAAGAAAGCCTTGCCCCTCCCAAGTGTATGCATTACTGCAAACTCCCCTGCGCCCCATAGTTTTCCTAAAGTATTATTCTTCACATGAACTCTTAGCAATCCACATGGCTTCAGTATTAATGAAGCCTGTTGTTTCTTCCCTCACCCCCCCCCAGCCAATGTAGAACTTTGGGCAGAAAGTGAAATAGCAGCCCATTGCGCAGCAGGACAGGAAAACAACGACATGCCTCTGGCTCAGCAATTGTGCTGAGTTAGCAATCTCTCCTGCTGGGCAATTACAATGCAGAAAGCTTCAATGCCAGCAGCATTTGGGGACTACTACTTGTATATGTCAATTGGCTCTTAACTACAGTGCATAGTTTTTAACTGAAGATGTCTCAGTAGGACGTCAGGCTGCTTGTCCTTGGATGTTCACATTGTCACTCATGTAAGGTGGGCACTTCCCTACCTACGTGCTGGTTTGAATGTCCCAGCTGTGGACATCCTATTAAAGATAATTTAGAAAAGTACAGAAACTATTTGTACCCTTTTGGTTTATTTATGCTGCATAAAGAGGACCTGAAAGGCCTTAATACTTCTGGCTTGTCTCTTACAAAAGGAGTTCAGATCTTATCTATGCTGTCTTTCCTGAAAGACCAGGGGTGAAAGTAACTTAAAGGACTTACTGGTACTCTGGAGTCCTTAGGAGGGGGCGGGGCCTCAACCAGAAGAGGCATGGCCTCTACTGGAAGAGGCGGGGCCTTTAAATCCCCAGGCACTTTAAATCACCATCGGAGGGGGCCCCGTCCTCTGGTGGAGCTTTAAAGGGCCCAGGGCTCCACTGCAGTAGTGGCAGCTGGGATCCCCTGGCCCTTTAAATCACCGCCCGAGCCCCCAGCTGCTGCTGCTACCCCAGGGCTCCAGCCGCGGGGCTCGGGTTGCAATTTAAAGGGCCCCGGAGGGCAGCGCCGGCTTTAGGAAGGGCGGGGCCCAATTCGAACATTTTTGGCGGGGCCCCGGCAGGGATGACTAACAAAAAAAATAATGGAAAAAAAAGCCTTTCATTTCTTCCATGTATTATTTACTTTCCATAACTATATAAAAAATAAAATTATATATTATGTACATTGCATCATATATGCTGTTGATTGGTTATTAATGAGCCCCGTTTCACGTGTGTGGGTCCCCGCCACTCCCTGGGGGTGTGCTAGGGTGACCAGATGTCCTGATTTTATAGGGACAGTCCCGATTTTTGGGTCTTTTTCTTATAGGATCCTATTATCCCCCACCCCCGTCCTGATTTTTCACACTTGCTGTCTGGTCACCCTAGTGGTGTGCACATGTGTAGGTCCCAGCTGCTCCCTGCCCCCCTCATTGAAGCAGGTGTGCAGGGTTACTGCCCTGGGAACTGCAGGGCACCAGTGGACATGGGGCTGGCTGGAGGCTGGGCAGGAGCTCACTGGAGGTAGGGTCTGGCTGCAGGCAGGGCAAGGAGTGCGGGGCTGGCTGGAGACAGGGGTGTGTGGGGCTGGCTGGCTTTGGGCAGGGCCGCAGGGGGGTGCGGCAGGGGTTGCCTGGAGACAGGGCAGGGGGTGCGGCAGAGGCTGGCTGTGGGCAGCGGGTGCGGGGCTGGCTGCAGGCAGGGCAGGGGGGCGGGGCTGGTGCGGGCAGAACGGGGGGGCAGAGCTGGAGGTAGGGCAGGGGTGCAGCAGGGGCTGGCTGCGGACAGGGGGTGCAGGGCTGGCTGGAGACGGGGCTGGCTGCGGGCAGGGCAGGCGGTGCGGGGCTGGTGCGGGGACGGGGTGCAGCAGAGGCTGGCTGTGGGCAGGGGGTACAGGGCCGGCTGGAGACGGGGCTGGCTGAGGGC